GAAAAAACTTTCTCTCTCCTGCTCACTAGTTCACCTTCCCATTAAGAAAAATGAAGTGCATCAGCAATAAAATGGAGATATCTTTTCGGATGCATCCTCAGTGGTGAATTTGAATAAACATTTTCCCCACTCAGAGGAGTTTCTCTGGAGAATAGCAAACAGCCAGGAGACAGAGGTGAAGAGGGGTCAGAAATGGAGTGTGTATTAAGTGCTTATGAGTGTGTATTTGTGAGTGTTTGTGTTTCCAAGTATTTATAGTTATGGAGTGGCTGGTGTTTGTGTGTATGAGAAGTTGGAAGAAAGACTTAACTGAAATGGCAGTGTGTCTGTATGTGTGTATTTAAACTGAGCTGATTGTAAGATTCGGGCAAAAGGACTGTGGAGACATTGAACCTGCAGGTGGGCAAAAACAGTTTCCATCTTAAACCTTTTAGCAGTGAATCATCCAAAAATGCACATAGGTAGAAATATAGACTCTGTATATGGAAAGAAAGCAGGAAGGAAAAGTACTGTGAGATCATTTGTTTGAAGGAATCTGATATTATTTTTCCATATTCAGTGATGATCACATTTTGCAGTTTACACCCTCTTAGGCTGATGACAGTCTAAATCTCGCTGTCCCTCTCTCCTCGTTCAATCCTCAGAACAGGAAGCCATTTTTAAACCTGTTAAGTGAATGAGACACAGTATGTGGTGAACAACAGTGTTTAGTTTAATGAGATACTTGTACATTTTTAATTAAAAAGTACAGGGACACCAGGTAAGTACCAAATGAGAGATCCCCACTAATACAGAATGCTTTTGGATGTTGTTTGAGCCTTGGTTGAGCAGTGATTCAGAATGATACCAAATGGCTCTATTTACTTTGTGATTCAGGTCATTTGCATGTGCTTTGTTTATGCTTAAGTTTGGTGTTTTAAGTTTAGTCACTTATTGATTAGTAACATGACAAACAGCTTTAAGTTTACATTCCCAAGTGTTACCTTGATAGTCACTTGGATACATCTTCATTCACAGTACTCTAATCCAGTTATTTAAAGCTTTTCTGAATATAGATAATAAATAAAGCAACAATAAAGCTTTAAAGTGGTTTTGAAGTTGAGAGAGGAATTCAGAAATACCAGAGCACGGATGAAACAAGACGCAGCAACAGTTAGTCACTAGCTATGTGTATTATCTGTTGTGAAATTAGACTCTTTGTAGCAACACTACACATCTACTAATATATTTTCACTCCTACTTCTTGCTTTATTTTTTTTTTTCACTCTCGTCCTTTCTTCGTTTTGTCCATTCATCACCTTTTGCTTCATTCCATCTTTGTATTTCATCCCCCATTCTCTCATCCCTCTGTCCTTTTTTCTCTCCCTCTGTTTAATGCTGTATCGCACTACTCTTCCTTTTCTCTCATTTTCTCTCTCTCTCTCTCTCTCTCTGGTTGACAGAAGGCGTTCAAAGACACCAGTCAGTATGTGGTTGGGGAACTGTCTGCGCTGGAGAGCGAGCAGAGGCACATAGATGCCCGAGCAGCTCGCGTGGAGAAGAGGCTGCGCTATCTCATGGACACAGGTACCCCAAGCCCAATTACACTGGAAAAACTGTTTCGGCAAATTGAGCGTATGCACGCACATACACACGTATGTACACTCGGGGAGTTTGTGTGTGTGTGTATTTATGTGTGCAGTTGTGTGAGAGAGAATCTTTGAAGCCCCCCCTTCTCCCTCTTGGTTGAATGTTGTGCGACGGCGCGCTGGGTGGATATGAAAGGAGGGGATGGGGGTGAGAGAGGAGGTGGAGAAGGGAGGGGATGGGTGGGTGTGGAGGGAGAGAGAGGGGGAGTGTGTCTTGGGGATGGGAAAAGAAGGGAGACCTCTCTGGGCTGGGGTGATAAGGGAGCCCTTCATGGGGGAAACGATAACTGGGTGCGATAGCGGAGCCCCAGCCGAAGTCTCCGCTGCAGCTGTTTGCCAGCCGCGGCCCCAGCCAGCCAGCCTCCACACTATTGAACAGTGTGCTCAGCCATGCACAGCTACACACACATACACCCTCCTTCCCCTAGTACATATCTGGCCTTCATTGATATGCTGTATAAGGAAAGACGGGGGTGAGTTAAAGGGAGAAGAGAGGGAGAGGCAAAGAAATCGGGGGAAAAAACGCAAGGCAACACAACAAGCGCTGACACAGTTCACACATCCACGACAGACACGCAAATGCTTACACACCCACGCATACAAAGTGCAGTCTGGTTTGGCGTACAGAGCTGGATTCGGAAGGTTTTTATTTAAGATTTGGCCAGGGGTAAAGCCTTGTTAAGACATGAGACAGTGTGCCGAGCCAAAAGAGGCCTTGGCTCCGTTAAGTCCCTAACTGAAATTGGAGAATAGCATCCCATTTGTGATACTACACCATCTCATTCCTGTCCCAAGAATGGTTCCAGAAGTGTAAAATTTTGATGTTTGCAAATGTCCTGAAAGTGTAGATTCAATATTTACTGTAGTATTTTAGTAGCACCTCTCATGCTCTTTCTGATATATCAGTGCCTAACTCGGTGGATTTAGCCCCCAGACTCCTCAAAAGGAAACGCGGGAGGATAAAAAAGATGGTTTTTATAAAAAGAAGCTGGAGCAGTGGGAATTGTGCTCACCTTCTTCATCCCATTTGGGTCATGATAGTGAGGCTATCTCCCCTTCATTTGTTGTGTTTGCTTTCCTCCTTTTCACCTCCTGTCTTGCCTCTGTGCCCTCTTCCCTGTTGGAGCACATGCCATTGTGTCAATCTGAAGGACTGTTTCTCCTTCTTCTTCTTCACCCACTGATAACGCAGCTGCTGTCCAGCAAGGCGCCGGGTTATTTACTTCCACACACCTTCAGCCATAAAGATTTCTCTTTATATAATTATATAAATCTGCGGTCTCCTCCTGAAAAATATGATTTACCAGAAAAGGAAGAGAATGACAACAGGGAAGGTGAACACAAAATAATGGAAGTATATCATGAAGAGAAATTCACCTCAGTTGCCTTTCAGCCCCTTTATAATGTCAGTGTTGATTGAAATTGAGAAAATGTGGTTTCCAGAAGTCAATACGCCGACTACTAGGTGGTGCAGTATTGTGTATATACCGTATAGAACTTTGGCTTTTTCAAGTGCCATAGTTTGTCAGTAATTGAAAAAGCAACGAAACATGTAGAAATAAAGGGCTTTCACATACGGTATGCGCTGTGCTCGCCGCAGGGGCTGGGCGTGGCACAGGGGGAGGAGCATGCACACACACAAATCGCGCACATGTTGGGCACCAGTTGCTAGGTGACCAAAAAGCTTTCCAGGAGGTGTCTAGCTAATATTAACTACTTCTCAAGTAGTGGACTTGGTTGCACGATGTACCTATCTACATGTCAGCAAAAAGCTCTGGCTTTAGTTGATGAAGAGGAGGAGACGATCGAAGAAGAAGAGGGTGTGGGTCCACCAAAATCGGTGTCTCCATTTTCTTTGTGGTCTGTCAGGCTCTCTGCTATTGGACGCAACGTGATGTTGTCACACAGCGCTGCACCCAGGTTGAGCTTTTCTTTTTAACTTCAGCGCAGTGCACAGGGACAGCACGTGCGACCTTGCACCGCGCAACACATACAGTAGAAATGAACGCGATCCATAGTGGAGCGTAGTGTGCACTACGTCCTGTCTGAAAGTCTCTTTAGCCTGCTAGGTCATAAAATATGCATGTTATGAAGGCCATGCTTAGCTGTGACTTATCATTCAATATTTAGGGCACCTTCAAATTGGTACCAATTCCACACTGGCATTGCAGTGCAGCAGTAAGGAAAGACTGATGTCGAGCACCTTGCTCTCTTCCTGAAAGTACATTTCTGTTCCCATATCTCATTTTGCAGCACTTATCCCAGAGACTCATCCAATAGGTTATAGATTGTGCCTTTAGGTTGAGGTCTCGAGGCATCAGAGCGAGATGCACCACTGACAGGTGGTCACTACAGTAACCTTTATCACCTCAGTACTCGGGTCACCTTTCTATAGGCTGTCATAGATAATAGATATTTTTCTCTGCACCCTGAATGTCTGATTGAAGTTGTGGCTGATTGGCTGTAAACAAAGCGTCCGGTATTGATCCATTACATCTGACTGGTGCCTGTATTTTACCAAGGAACATTGTGAGGAAGTTCCACCAGCTACCAACCAGTGTTGATGTTTTATACTGCATCAGCCACAAGCCAATGTCCAGAGGGTCTTTTAGAAGAGCAAGTAGGAGTGCAGTAAAGACCGGATGTGACGGAGAGCAAATAGTGCAGAGTGGAGTTTGTAGCTGCTCATCATGCACTGAGAGAAATACAGATGTCTTTATAAAACAAGTTTCCACTTAGAGGTTACCTGTGCTTTAGAACTGGATGCTTTTTGAAGCACTGAGTAACCATTTCAATGACTATTCCCATATTAACAGTTTTACACACAGCCAGTTTTGTTCATAGACAAAGAGCAGACTGTATAAAGAGGAGATGTACAGAGTGATCATAGCAGTGCATGGGATCGTATGATTCAGACCTCTGGAGATACATTTGGATGAGCCCAGTGGGCAGTGGGGCTGTGATAGTGCACAGCGCTGCAGGACCAGTAGCCAGATGTGACCAGACTGACCAACTGACACATGACTGTTCATCTCACTGCTCCATCAGCACAAACATGGAAAGGTCCACTGTGCTTTAATATCACATGCTTTTACTTTGACGTTCCTGCATCCTGTTTTTCTTTATTTTCATCTCGGTATAAAAATGTGTCATTCTTTATGTTTGCCACAAAGAATTATTTTGAAATTCTTTTTTATTCTTCCTGTTTTATGTAACTTATCCTCTACCTTTTTGTGCTTTCCAAGTCCAGTATTTCTCTCTTTCTGTCTTAGTGCCTGCTTCTCTGCGGCACATTTTATTTGCTTGTTCTTTTTATCCCTGAGAATCTTTTTCTTTTTTCTGCCACCATTGCTCCCCCTTCTTTTCCTCTTTTTCCACACATCTTCTCTCTTCCCCCGTCTCTCCCCTGGTTTAGGCACAATGCAGCATTTTGCTGCATTTTCTATTACGCCGTGGCCCTCCCCAGATGAATCCAAAGTAATTGGGGTGGTTAATTTATTTACTCAGAGGCAGTTCACAGCACATTAAATAATAGAGATAATTGAACAAGAATTGTCAAGTGTCTTCTGATATCAGGCACATTACAGGAGGGAGTGCGCATAAAACTCCATTTCTATGCCCCCATTGTTTATGGTAATTAAGTACACAGATTTATTCCTTGGTTGCCTTCCAAGCTTATGGCAAGCGCCATTGTTGTTTTCTATTAATATGTAATCAGTAAATAGTTTAATTTTCTAATCTGCGGGTGGAGAATTCACTTTCCAACAACTCTTAATTACTGCTGGGCTCTAATGAGTCTCGCCATGCCGATGCAGCCAGCCAATCGGAGGCAAGGCACAGGTCGGGAGGGGAATTTGAATTCCTGCGGCGCCCCCCCTTGACTAATGAACTTGTTATTCTTGCACCACTGAGAGCACTGCCCTTCATACTTGCAACATTAGGCGAATGTTCACCTTCTCCAACAGACAGAATATTTATATAACTTTATTGATTTTATGACTTAGTCTTTAAAGATGCGTATACATTACATATAAGTTATTCATTCTGATTATGATTACAAGGCTGTCTGTACAGTTGTAGGCTATGAAATGTTAAAGTATCATGCAACCTCCTTTCACAGTGCCCTAAACAGCTTGCACACATTGAAAAGCTTGAGCTTTTGATTGCATCATTAATATGTATTTTATATCTGAGCTCATTTTCAGTAGAATTAAGATACTGTTCATCATTATTGTGTTTCTACTGATGTATGTAATCCCTCTGACCTTGGTGTTGTTATTTTTTGAAATGTATTGTTGTACAGAAAAACATATCAAGCACACCTTATTGAATATTCAGCTTTAGGTATGACAAAGCATTCAAATGCATCATGTAGCCTTTGCAGAAAATCCCTTGGCCCGTTTTTGAATATATCTCAGCCACCCCCTACCTGGCCCTTGCACCTATTTACACACACCTCCCATTTCAAATAGCTATATAACCTGCAACAATGGACGCAATTATCCAAATAATGGCACTTAGCCGCACTGCAAAGCTGCCCCTCACCTACTGTGCATTTGATAAGAGATAAACAAGCAGAGAGAGGAGAGAATGAGTTTTAGCTCTCCCAGATTAACATATGTTTAAAAATTGCACTCAAAGCTGATAAGATTGACACAGGTTTTTATGGCGCACGCTCCTTTTAATCTGTCTTTGTGTCTGCAAGTCGACAAGAGGAGAATGGCACAAGAAGGGATCCAGCAAGAGCTTAATATACTTTACACATGGAGCCTATCCCCCTCAGTATCTGAGGAAGGGACTGAACGGACTGTAAAAGCCTTCACACTGGGAACAGCTGCAGTCTGCGTTAACCTGGACTGTGATTGTGTGAAGGACTGCAGAACGTGAACGGCTCAACCTGTGGCTCTAAATCTCACTTGTCCAAACTAAGGCACATTT